TTTTAGACCCCTCTTTTATTTTCTCCGTGTCCTTTTTCTTCTGCAGTGTCTTGGATATGTTCCCCCGTGATTATAAATAGATTCTAATTAGCTCCTCCAGCCATGGGCAATAGAATTGTTCATCAAGTGGGGACTGCACTCTGAACACTTCATACATTAAAGCTTGTGCAAAAGACACAGAAGAAGCAAATCCGCAGAGCTTCAAGTTATTATTTTTTTCCTTTTATACATTTTTTCCCAGTTCAACAATAATTCTGCGATGCAATCAGTTTTCTTTGTGGTTAGGAGGATTCGAAGGTCATTCAGACCCAGAATGTAATAAAGCAAAAAATCTGATCCAGATGAAGAAGAACCAAATGAAAGGTCTTTTTTTTCAATCCTACTCATCAACCATCTAATAATTAGCAGAATTTAGTTGACTTGTTTAGCTTAATACCTATTTAATGTCCTGCCATTATTAATATCTTCAACAACGATGTGTGGTTGGACTTTAATGAAACTATTAGGAATTCTTGAACATCAACAAAGTCATTTTGATTAAAAATGGCCATCTCAAAATAGTTGGCTGTAACTCAGTTAATATTCTAAGCCTTGTTATTGTACCTTAGAGATATTTCCAACATCTACTCTGCAACTGTGTGCACAGATGCACACATTTAAAGACCAAGTTCACTGGGAAACAGTTTTTTACTTGTTATGTTTGAAATATGTCCAGTCAATCTAAGTTTAACTTGCAGGCTTCTACCCCTATTTCCTGCATTAGCTTCTGACAGAAAATAGACGAGGAAACTCTTGGATCAGAGAAGCATGATAATTGCACGTCATATTGCCAAATTCCCAGTCATGGACTCCTCCATCGTGACTCATGATTTGGGAGGCTGTTGTAGATTTAGATTCCAGCTGAGAGCAGAGTGCCCCTTTGCTAGCAGAAGCAAACTGTTAGCATTCACAACTCCACACCACAGCAGAACTCCTCCAGGATTGTGTTAATTATGGGGATGAAACATCAACGTTGCAATGAAAACGGAGTCAGTGGTAGAGTTGCGTTACTGTTAGCCAGTCTCCAAAACCTGCCATCTTGTGCTCCACTCTGCTCTGGCTCACTTCTAGTTCCTGAAACAGGAGCACCAGAGCTTTTTTTCCACACCGATCCTCTTTAAACCTTTGAAAAAATTATGAATAATTCCATAAATTTTCAACAAAAGGATTTTAGTTTGAAACATGAAAGACAGTGAGTGGGCTGTAATTATTCCTTCACGGAATGCTGGAATTTGAATTATTTATGTTTTCTTCACCACTTCTGTTAATTTTTTAAGCTAACTTCTCATTTTTGTAGAACAGAGTTTATGATGTTCCCTGGCTTCACAGCAGAAATCCCACGACTGCTGATGTTACTTTTGGTGAGTCTTGGCTCAGTTGAAAAACATCTTTTAAGCACATTAGTATGGCTAAATGCTTTTATTTTATTTTATTTTGATCAGAGGTAGGCTTCGGTAAATTCATGACCAAAATGTCTCCATTCTTTGTCTTGACAGTTACTTTGGTCAAAATAAAATAAATCCTTTAAATTACTGCAACTGAAAGCTCTTCTGCTTCCCTTTTAAGAGATCCCATTCAATATACAGCATATTATGTTGCAAATCTCAGTCTGAAACATTCAAAAACTAGATTTCTGGAATTATACATTAAAATGTGTTTTATGCTGCAGCTTCTTGAAAAGTGCAGTTCTTTAAACTGAAATAGAGATTTTATAAATGTGTTTTGCATGTCACAGCAGCAACTAGGATGTGATTATTGTGAAACATATTGAAACAACAACAAGGAAATACCTTCTTCTACAATGAGCTCTCCCAGCTTCAGGTTTCATGTTTCTAGACTTCTCTATTATATCATCATTTGTTCAGCTGGCAGCTGTAATATTATTCTACTAAAGCCTTTCACCCTGAGTACCATTAATGCTAAATCTCTAAAGCAAGAAGCAAGAGAAATGTTATTTTTTAATGTATGTTTTCAACCTGAATTCTGTAGCAATACTTAATTCTGATTTGAAGGCGCAAACATTTTGACTGCTGCTGCATCTTGTTTTGTCTTAAAACTTCAGCATTTGTGTATTTTATGCACAATAACTTCATATTTATAAATCTTGTGTAATAACTTTGTTCACTCATTTGGATTCAAATCATCACAGTAAAAAGAATCAATAAACTTTTATTATTTAGGGTAAATTTTTTTTTGTAAATTGACAGCAACATGAAACATTGCATCTATATGATAATTTGGCTTTTGGACTAACTCACAGCCATTGTAATAGTTTTTATTATTCATTTAAATTACTGTTAATAGCCAAAAGGCATCAATTACTCTGAACAACTAAAGGACTTCCTGGAGCGTGTACCTATTCAGTGTGTAATTATGCTTTACTTTGCAGAAGTGGCTTATATTTACTGAAGCATATGACTGATTATAATTATATAAACTTGTGTCATGAATTAGCATTAGAGTATATTTATAAATTGATTAAATGTATACACGTAGCTAAGTAGGCCCCCGGCTCAATGCTTGAACATTTACCAGCAAATTTAAATGTTTGAAAGTCTAAAAGTAAGACTTTTTTAAAATTATTATTATAAAACACATATAGATCAGAGAAAATAACAAACATTTCACCCATGAACTTTACAACGTTCAACATAAATGTGGGGGAGAAAAGCAAAAAATGAACATTTTATTATAAACGCAGACGATTAATGGTTTAAAAAATAGTGTTAGAATAAGCTGTCAGGTTCAAGCTGAACACAAAGGAGTAATGATAAAAGAAGAGTCACACTGCCACCTGCCTGTTCCTCAACAGCACAATCCGAACTAACAAACATGCTCTATTTCTCACATATGTATGTACGTAGTGCAAATTAAAATAGATATCTAACCAAAATATACATCTTAAAACTGTGGTTTTACAGGACATTTAGTTTTGTGCTGATTATTGTGTTTTTAAAAATGCAAAAAATTAGCTTCAAATTTCTCAAGAGATTTGTTCATTGATTTTAAAATAAAGTATTTTATGCAAAAAGTAGAGCTATTGATCTACTAGCATGTGGATGTCATACAAAAATAATTTTATAAAATGATTAGGTTCAAATTCACCACGATTGTGATAAAACTCTTGAAACTTTATTCGCCATGCTCATTTTGAAATAAAATCACTAGCGTATTTGTAGCACATCTGCAAACAGCTGCCTTGTACATTTCAGGGTAACTGGGTCAGCACTGGTTAGTGGTAAACACACACCAGCTCACAGGTTATAACTCAGTAAGTGACACCAGCACGTCAATGTCAGAACACACTGCTGTCCAGTAACTTGATATTGGGTGCCACACTGGTCAAAAACTGTGGCTTATTTTAAGATGCAGTCATTGTTGCAAACAGGAACCAATTACTTCCACAACGTCATACAATAGCAATGATGATGTCTTATTAAAAACAAACAACAAAGTAATGTCACACACGAACAAATTATTTTTAAAGCAAGAGTCTACTAAAGTGTACTAAAACGTTAGAAACAGGTTGGATTGGAGTTTTAATTTTTAATGTGGTATTGTGCTCAGTGCAGATGACAAATGTTCTTTCATACTGAAATCTCCTAGAGTTATATGTCAAAGATTTGGTTTCAAACTAGAAAAATATAATGAATCTGCGTCTAAAGCGTTTTCGCTTTAATGTCATTTACCCAGTGTGTTGGTGCCAGGGGCGTGTCCAGAGAGTGGCCTGGATAGCACATGTCACCCTTGGAATATTATTGGCCACCCTGCTGAGTTCCATTAAAGATAACTACATCATCCACAAAAGGACAAGACCTGGACGTGCCACTGGTTGATTTTTGCAGGTGATTATTTTTAAAATGCATGAAAAATAAAAGCTTTCATTATTCAACATAAAAGAAACATTAGCTTTGATTTAAAAAAATATATTTTTTATAGCATATTTACTCTGCAATGGGTCACCCACAGTTGCACTTAAGACATTTTTGAACTTATCCATATTATGATAAAATTTCCATTAGACATATTTTTTATCTTGTTCATTGTTATTATTATTAGTAGTAGTGGTGGTGTTATATTATTATTATTATTATTATTATTATTAGTAGTAGTAGTAGTAGTAGTAGTAGTAGTAGTAGTAGTAGTGGTGTTTATTTATTCGTTTAAAATTTCGTAATCAAGTAAAAAGTCAATATTTTGCATTGGCCAGCAGGGGGCGCGCATAGCTTAGGAAAGAAGTGCCATGGTTCATGCAAAGAATCGTTGACGTTTACCTACATTATTATCATTAACACTAATAATGTGGGCGTCTCACGAAGGAAATAAATAAAATGTGATTGACTGAGTAATTGAAACGCAGAACTTGTGATAATACACAACATTTTTGTTTATTTCTCATGCATGTGCAGGCTGAAAGACAACCCCTGGGGACCTTTAGGAAAGTTAACCCCTGCATGTGCAGCGTGTCTGGCAGTATGCAGGTTCCTTAAAATGCAATGCCTGGTTTGCAAAGGTATTGTGTGTTGTTTGTGTGTGTACGTGCGCGCGCCCATGAGTTCACGTTTGTTGCTGTGGGGGGTAGGGGGGGAGTGGGAGGGGGAGGGGGGGGAGATAAAATGAGGACGCTGTGGTGTCCCTGCCAGCATGAGGTAACATTGCGCGAGGTCTAAAACACCACCACTAATGCCAACTATCAGTACTCATATTTTTTAAAGAAACCTGGAAAGCTGACAGTGAGTTTCTTTGCTTCTTTTGGGAAAACATTTGCATAAACTGGAGCGTTCATTGTTGACCGTTCCTCTCCAAAAACTCCAGAATCCGCCTTTTCGCACTTACCCTGGCCATTATTTTATTTACTAAATGCTCATATCAATCCGCAGGGTCAGAGAGTATTTTGAAGAAATCGTAAAACGACTTGGGTGCAATTTATTGATGCCTGTGTTTTATCCGTGCGCTTATATATTTGCCAAACTCTTGAAATACTAATTTTAAATAAACCACGACGATGTGAAAATACGTGTCTGCTGTAGTTCTGCTCGGACGAGGTGGATCTAGTTTTTTTAAGAGCCTAGGGGGAGGAGGGTCTGTGCTTCGGTGCCACTTATCATTAGATATGGCCACCGTTATAGAGTACGCCGAAGCGTCATCCTCAACTTAATTTTATGATTTTTCTCATATATTTTTCAGCTCACATCGTTCGGCGGACACACTGTTATTTTGGGCAAGCTAATGTTTGTTTCTACACGTTTTTGGAGCCGGTTGTTACTGCGTGGCAGGCTGGTTGCGAGAGTCTCCTAACTGGCCGCTTCTGCTTGTCGCAGCTGAAGAAAATAGAACCAGTTGCCAAGCCAGCGGTCGGAACCGAACGTTTACTTCTCCTCGTCGTTACACGTTCCTCAAGAATTTGAAGTTTTATTCACCGATTGGTTGCTCTTCTTTTTTGACAGCCACATGTGTTTTGGCTCTTGTTTGTTTTCATGTTAATGATCAAATTTTTGGGTGGCTAACATCAACTAGCTGTGTTACCCGAACTCGACAGCTGTCATTGGAGAAAAAGGAAAGTGATCTCCGCAAATGCCAGTGAAGCGGTTTTCTTTTGGATTTACATCAACGGCTTTTCCATCAAATGGGCAAAGTTGGGAATATCATTGCAACGCTGGGATATAATGATATGCGCTGTGCATTTTTGAGAACTGCGGTCTTGTTTCATTGGAGAGAAGCTAGCTGCTAGCTGGCTGGTTGATAAAACGTTTCATCCCCCCATTATTTTGGGACATGAAGAGGACAATTCGCTGTCCATAGGGCTGGGAAGGTAATATACAATGTCAACTTTCATTTCTTTTCATGCAAGCTTAGATTTAGCCTGACATTGGCCTTTTTAGAGAGTCAGAGCCAACACTATCTTCCAGTCTAATGCTGAAGGGGGGGTTTGTCGCCACCTCGGCTCTCATGACTCAGACTATTCAACGGAACGGAACGTAAAGGGAAGGTTCATTGGTGTATATAACCCGACAACGACGCGTTTGTGCCGTGCGTTTTACACATTACAACAAAATAACAATCACACATCACGACACAAGTGTAGAGTTAAAAGTAGATCTCTAACAGACGCCGTCGTGCAATGTAACATTTACTCTTTTTAGTGTAGTTCCTCGGAACAGTTCCGTTTCATTGAATAGACCGAGCCTTTGTGTGTTGGGCACAAATCCCGGTCAGACTCGATTGGAGGTTGATGATGCAGTCAAAGTTACGTGTAAAATGTCCTGCCGTCCACACTAATGCATTAAGCGTTAGCAACAAAAACTGAATCGGCTACGTGAAATGTTTTGATGCAGGTTGTAGTTTCTAAACGACGAGTTGGTTAACTACTGGGAACCTGTTTGCTACATGAGCCAATTTCAAAGTTGATTGCTGGATGTATGGCTTAATCGAATCTAATCTGTTGTATGTAGTTATGTATGAAACGTGTATTTATTTCTACTAGCACTGTCTGTAACTAGAAATGATGTCAGTGCTACTTTTTGTCGCTGTTTCCGTGGAAAAGCGATAGAGTTGTACACAACAGGCTAACATGGCATTAGCACCGAGCGGCTGCTTTGTGCCCAGGCTTGGTTTAACAAAAGCTAACGCTAACATGTTTTAATTTGAATCCCTGGTGGTCGTGATTGCCTGAAATACCCAACCACTGCATGCCCTAGCCATCTATAACATTATTATTGTCATCATTTGATTTTGTGCTATTATATATTAACACATAATCTGGTGTCTATCCAACATAGTTATGCTGAAGAGCACCTGTTTCTTGGCTAATGACTTTACCCTCAGCATCCACAGTATCATCCACAAACGCTTGATTTACACAGTTGTCGATGTAAATAATACTTTTCTTGTAGTTACAAATCCTTTTAGTTCACCTTAAAGTAAGGCAGCTGAATCGTTAAATTCATTTTGTAAGGATCAAAAGTGCATAATGACTCAAGTATTTAAGTGTAATAAGTTAAAAACCTTTTGTATCACTTTTTACAAAAAACATTTTAACTAGTTTCCCTATTCTTTATCATAATAACACATCACTAGCAGATGCATTAGCATGCATGTTGATGGATGTACAGTGCATCAAGAAAGTATTCAATCACCTTTTCCACATTGTATGGTACTACCTTATCAAGTGGATTAAATTAATGTTTTCCCTCAAAATTCAACACAACATCCCACATTCACAAACTGAGAAATATTTAATTTTCAGGTTTTTGCAAGTATATTGGTAACACTTTACAATAAGGATCCCTGGATTAACTTTACTTAGTGCATTTTCAAGCATTAATAAGCCAAGGGTCCCCTTACTAACGTTATTGTTGTGTCCTTAGAGTTAGGACAATGGGCATGGGGGGGGGGGGGGGTCTCCTTAGTAATACATTACATAATATGGTTAAGCAGTTGCTAATACTTTATTTAATGGTTTATCAATGCTTAATAATGCACTATATAACATTAATATCATGCGTGCTAGAGTGTTTGGAGCCTTTGTCATGGAGCTCAAAATAGAACTCCTGTTTTCACTCATCATCTTTGAGATTTTTCTGCAGATTTTTTGGAGTATCCCAGGGGTAAAATCAGTTGATTGACATGATTTGGACAGGCACACACACCTTTCTATATAAGGTTATGCCTGATTTATACTTCTCTGTCTGCGTTGGTGCGGAGACACGCAACGCCATTATGTGTCGGCGCAAGGGCTCTCAGACAGGCTCACAGAGGGTGACGGAGACATACCCAAAATTTTAAACATCCATCAAAAGTGACGGAGACTGCAAGCTTGTGATTGGTCAGGATGCCGCTTCTTGTAAATTTGTCAACAGCCCCGCTGTAGCTCCTTTAAAAAGTAAACAGATATTTAGCGGCAGACCCAGAACAGACTGAAGAACGCATCGTGGAAAAAAAGTCAAAAAATATGAACATTTATTCATACGTGAGTAAAGGAGTACAAAATACAGAGCAAACGTGGACGGAAACGACAGAAAATGTGGGTTTAGAGGTGGATGAGAATGACAAATTTGTCTGTGGTATAAAGTCTCTGAAATATATAAATACATTAGTAAATACACTATCGGGGATCTGATACATAAGTGTTTTGGTGGCAGGATACCACAGAACAGCGCTACGCCCTCTGTTGTCCTGGTGGGAGATTGCTTTGCAGCATTCCGCTGCATAATGATAGGGCTGCAGCTATCGAATATTTTTGTAATTGAGTACTCTGTTGAATCTTTTATCGATTAATCAAGTACTCTAATAAATTACCCTTTTGTGTTTGTAAACCATTATATCAAATAGCATGTTATAAAATGTGAAAGACCTCTTAAAATGAGCAAGCAATTGCCAGTTATTCAAGTTTTATTAAAAATTAGTTTTCAAAACTTCAGCACTTCAACTTTACTTCACAGTAAACAAATGCCTGCGCAAAAAATAAATATACAACCTGAGCCGATTTTTCCCTCGTGCGAGAATCTACTAGCCGGCAACTAGGAGGATAACTGTTGAAGTAGTGCTGCGAGCGGCTGCGGCTCAAACAGCACCAGAACCGCTCACGGCGCATGCGCAAACATGGCTCGCCAGCTATTTCCCTATTAACACACGTCCGTTTTAATTCCTACACTTGTTTTTTCTCACACAATAACAAGGATTGTCGAGAAAGCATGTTTGCCGTGGTTATGTCAAATTATACTGATCACAAAACATTCACTTTCTTTCGTTTTCCTCCGCCACTCTCATAAATACCTGTGTCCTCCTGCAGCAATCCCGAGGGACAACAGACATCAATAACGACACAATAAAAAGTCTGATGTGTTGTGTAAAAACCGCTATTTTTAGCACATTTTTAGATCCGACGTGTTGCTACCAGACGCACAGGGTAAGCTGAAACTGAGTGCTACAAACGAAAAAGTCGCACAGTGTCCGCAGAATATGTAGCGGACCTCCGAGTCCGCTTGCAGAAGTGACATTTACAGGTTCTGCAGCATCGAGGATGTGGCGTTGTGGTAGGCTAAATCCATTTTACAGTATTTACACTGGACTAGGGCTGCAACAAACGATTATTTGGATAATCGATTAATCAGATGGGGTCTCGACACGATTAATCGATTAATCGGATTACATTGGGAAATTTTTAAAAACTGCTAGGGAAACGTTATTTCTCTCCTTCCTTCACTTTATTTAACACAACATTATTAGAAAACAGTTCAATAGCAGAAAAACAACATGCCATCACCTAAATTGTCTTATAAGGTGTATAGACAGAGACCCTAAGCTACATCTATCTGTGACCTAAAATGCTTGGTCCAAGTTTAACAGCTTAAGGGCAATTCTCATCTGTTTTGTTTGATCTCATCTGTTAACATTTATTTTAAATGTAATTAAACATAGGCTGTGAATTAATCAAAATTGATCACTATTTCCAAAAATGACTGAAAAAATACCAAATAAAACAAAAGTAAATGAATGCCATCCTCCTTGCGATGATGCCCTGGGCAACTGCCATAAAGTCACATCAAGAAATGCTGCTGATCATTCCAACGATCCCAAATAGACTCACATTAGGCCACATGAAAGCAACTGAACCCAAAAATATATTAACCAGTATATAACTGCACTCTCACACAACACGCCTGCAGCAACAGTTAGGACTCCTCCCTCCCTTTTAAAAGCGTTTTTGCTTCCGAGGACATTGTGGTTGTAAAACCACATGCTAGTAGTCTGGCCCCGGTGTGATCAACCAGTTTCTGCGGGAATGTGACGGCGGAACCAGGGCCAGATTAACACTTTGTTGTACCCTGGGCAACAATATTCAAGGGCTCCATCATCACGACCCAAGGATCACCATAATGTGGTCACATACAGAATATTTTACTGTAATATGCAGTAAATATACTCAATACTTGAATGCCTGACAACACGTAACCCGCCCAGAGTAACCTTTGACCCACCTCGTGTGGACTGACCAATGAGGAGAGGGTCTTAACTTGAGGCCCTCTCTTCATTGGTTAGTCTGCATGAGACTGACTCTCAACTGACGTTCAAAGTCATAGGCAGCGAAGCGTCTCTATGCAGCGCAAAAGCCCGGGTGGACAGTTTGTTTAATGTAGGGTGATCATATTTCCATTTCCAAACAAGAGGACAGGGGATCTGTGCCTATGACGTCACACTATGGCAACGCCACACAAACCATGTTGGGACCCATTTTTTGTAAGAACTAAATTAATATCAGATTCTGCCAATAAAAGGGCTCTAAAACAATTCATATGTAAATATTTTGCATATTTAATGCAAAATCTCATTTTTATGCTTTAGTGCTGCAACAAGGTTTTATTAATAATAAATTATTATACCTTTTGTTTTACTACAGCATCGGTAAGCTTCCTGTGCACAGATTATCAAGGATGCTTGTTTCAGCTGTGAGATTAGACGATAGGATCAATGAAAAAATAAGTTGTCACACACTCCATGGAAACTTTCAGAGAATCCACAAATAGCGGCTTTCAAATGGTTTTGTTACTTTTTGCAAGTTTAGAAAAGAAGCAGATGAGACAGCATGTCTGATTATTTAGTTTTTCATCTGATAATATTAGAACATGTCAGTAATGTCTGAGGGGCTTTTATAAACACCGTATAACTAATACTCCTGGAGAGGGTATGAATTACACAGAGGCTTCTGGGGAGCCCAGTTATGGGGGGGGGGGGGGGGGGGGGGCATTTTGCCTTGGCCCCCAAAATGTCTTGAAACGGCCCTGGGTGTATGACTGAGTTTTGAAGGTGATC